TTCGCTTTTCTTTAAAAAAAGAAAAAAAAAAACCAACAAAGACATAAAATTGCTACAAAATGTTACATACATTATAGATTCAATATGAAAAAAATAAGAAATGGTGAAATCAACTTAACTTTATGTACATCCTTCCTTTTTTTGGTGTTGTTTACTTCTATGTCATCGTTACTCCTAACTTAACACTTGAAAACTGAGATTTTTTGATAAAAAGAGCAAATATGGGCTTTGTTATCAAAATCTTTTTATTGGCGTAGTTCTGGAGGGGGTAAAGAAATCAGCACTATGGTATCAACTTTGAAAACTATAATATTTCATCTAAAATCAAACGAAATAACGAAAAAATTCACTAAGAATAGCGAAGGAGAAGAATATGCTTCAGACATGGTTAGAGAGAAGGCGGGGTGCAGCAGGCTAGAAAGAAGACGAATGGTCGGTCTCTATCTGATTAGGGTTTGGAGACTTCATTTTATATTTGGGTTTAGTGGGTTTTGGGTATTGGGTTGTAGCAATGGGTTAGGTTTGGGCCAAAAATTTTTAAAAAATGTAATCATGTATTGGCCCAACATTTGTTATATTAAAACTTCTATTTTTTATTATATTATAAAAATGGTAATTTTTTTATTTTATTTTTTGTAATACCCAAAAATAAGCTCTATATCTACTATACTAATAAGAGGCCAAGAGAGTTAGGTCTATAATGGGTAGAAAAAATGGCGGCCACAAATTTTAATCAAATGAATGGCTCAGATTGATCAGATTTTAATTTTTCCTTGAGATTTCTTAATTTATAACTTTTCCGTTAAATACTATCTTTTCTGTTAATTTCTGTCAGTTCACTGTTAACTTATCCATTGATTTCAGTAAGAAAGGTCTTAGGTTCGAACCACATCCTAATCAAAGTTGGCATAATTAGTACTCTATTTTTCTCTTATTAAATTAATTTAAATAATACTTTAGTAGCTACAACCAAAAAATCTTCATTATCAATAAATTAAATAAGAGAAATAATTTCATTAGTTATATTGTCTTTATTTTTCTCTAATATAAAAATTCTTTATATTTAAATTTATCAATGGATTATATTCGCTATATTGTCACATTGTCCCTACAATGTCTTTATTAAAAAAAAAAATTATTCATTATCAATAAATTAATTAAGAGAAATAATTTCATTAGTTATATTGTCTTTATTTTTCTCCAATGTAAAAATTCTTTACATTCTAATTCATCAATTGATTATATTCACTACATTGTCTATTATCTTTTTTTGTGCACTATTTTTTTAATTAAATATCAAAGTTATAATACAAAATAATTTTATATATTTATTACCAAGTATTTTATTAATACCATGAAAAAATTTTAAAAATTTAAATTAATAAAACCAGTTATATTAACTACTTGAGGGATTTGTTGACAAAGAGAGAATTCAAATCACACAACAAATTGAAGTGAGAAACTACCTCGCAATGTCCTTGTTTGACAATCAGTAGTTAGCGGTTAGCGTTAGCGGATTATATTAGCGGATTTGACCAGCGAATTATATCAACGGTTGGTAAAAAGATATTTGAAAAAATTAGCTGTTTAAATTTTTATTTGCTCTCCCTTATGTCCTGTATTTCGTTTCTACCTTTTTTATTTGCTTAGTTTTCTTTGCTTGTAGTATTGAACTTTTGAGATGATGAAAACTTTGTGCGTGATTGAGTCTCAATAAATGATTTGAAGTAAAAACATTTCAAGACACTAAACAGAACAGATGTATTCCCACCTATCTGTATTTCGGGTTTACTAAGTCATGGATTGTTATCCCACCTATCTGTATTTCGGGTTTACTGAGTTATTAATGCATTTTGCTTGTTTGGTTCAAAAAAAAAAAAAAAAAAAAAAAAAAAAAAAAAAAAAGAACAGATGTGAGTATTATACTGTTTCTTCCTTCTGGTTATGTTTTTGTGAACTGAAACCTTGGACTATGAAGTAGTAATGTTGAGAGCATGTAATTATGTGATCAAAATTTAGACAAAAAAAAAAAGAAAAAAAAAAGAAAAAAAAAGAGGAAGTTGGGATTTTCGAACTGAAATCCGAACGGAGCCAAAACCGAACCGAACTACAATTTTAAATCGAATGGTTTCATTTTTTCATAACAAAAATCGAAATCGGAAAAAAAATGAACTAAAACCAAAACGCCCACCCCTATGTGAAAATGTTTGAATGCATTTTGCCTCTAGGTATACTTCTTTCAATGTGAATTACCAATAAAGAACTTTTCAGGTTAAAGTGAGGAACAATTACAAAAAAATTGGTTTGGTCTTCAAACCAAACCAAGCCCCCCTTCCCTATTTCCAAGTCTGAGTTTAAAGAGAAATAATGACAAGTTTGAGTAGAAGTACTAAGTTGCTAGATTGGATTGAATCATTAATTTATAACTAGTATTTGCACCCGTGCGATGCACGACCATATATATAATTAATAGAATATATAGTATTATATAATAACAAAATTAGGTAGCAAAACATTTGAAATTTATTAGACATTATTGAATACTTCTTTATATACGAAATTTATAGTCGTATTTTTAGATTGTACATTTTCGTCACAAATAAGTATTTTTAATCCCTTGGGATTACTAACTCTTAACACTGCTACATACATTTGACCATGATTAAAAATCGGCCTCTTCAAAAACAAACCCACGTTTGATAGTGTTTGACCCTGGCTTTTATTTATTGTCATGACATATGACAACATTAGTGGAAATTGCTTTCTTTGAAACTTAAAAGGCAATCTTGGATCAGAAGGTGTTAAGGACATCATTGGAATTAAAGATCTTTGTTTGTTTATAAGTAATGACATTATTGTTGATGAGACCTAAAAATACTTAAAAATAATTTTAAATAATAAAATCAAGCAATTATTTTGAACACTTAATTGCAAAAAATATTTCTTTCTTTATCAGTACGAAGTTGTTTGTTTATAAGTAATGAACATCACAACATACTACCTGCTTTTGAATCAAGTGATTTTTACTTCCTGCTTTTATTTGCTCCTTCTTGATCGTCGTTCTTTTCTCCTCCACAATTGCTTCAATTCCTCAAAAATTTCTTGACTTTTCTAATACCCTAAATTTTCTTGTTGCCTAGCGCTTAGTCTTCTTAATTCAGTCATGAACTTTAAGTTACAAACATAATTGCTCTTGCATCGACATATGCTATATTTTTTGCTAAGCATTCCAATATTCTCGTTAGTTTTGTATATAATTATAATTTTGTATATATGATAGTTTTGATAGTTAGTGTTCTCCTACTCTCGTTAGTTTCTTCTACTCTCGTTAGTTTCTTCGTTGTAGGTTAGGGTTTTTATCTATATCGTATTTCCTCTACACTTTAACAGATTATACCCAAATTTTATCTTTCAATAGTCGGCTTAACCTCAGATCTTCCCTACAGATTGTTTGTTACCTTGACAGCACGTTTGGTTCACGGAATGAATTTTGAGGTAATAGGAATGTTATTCCATAAGGAATGGAATAGGCAAGGAATAGAATAAGAATTGTATTCTATTGTTTGGTTCGCATAAGGAATAGATTTTAGGAATTATATTACAGTGTTTGGTTGATTTAAGGAATAGAAATGAAATATGTTTTAAAAGACATAAATACCCTTATAATATAAAAATATGTGATGGTGGCGATGGTGGTGGTGGTGGTGGCGATGGTGGTGGCGGTGGTGGTGATGGTGGTGGTGGCGATGGTGGTGGTGGGGGCAGCGACGGTTGTGGCGATGGTGGTGGTGGTGGCGGCGGCGGCGATGGTGGTGGTGGCGGCGGCGACGACGGTGGTGAAATATGATAAATTTATATATAGGACACAAATATTAGGTTAAAGAAAGGGGTAAAAAAGGAAATAGATTCTAAAATCTATTCCTGAGCGTTTAGTAATAGGCTAATACCAGGGGGCCCTAGTAATAGCTATTACCTTATTTGAGGTAATAGGCTATTACCAGGAATATTATTCCTGGTAATAGAAATGGTTACCAAACAAAGGAATATGCCTATTACTAGAAATGTTATGCTATTCTCGGCCTATTCCGTGAACCAAACGGGCCATGATAGTGTAGATATGTTACCAAATACAATGATTCGGTCAAAATAAAATAATTTTTAAAAAAAAAAAAAAACCCTTACACAACATCTCTCCAAGAAAACGACGCCGGCATTTCCAACCATAAAATTCGTTTGTTTATAATATCTGTATACTTGTTTTTTAATTGCATAATTTTTTGTCCAAATTTTCTTTGGGTTTTTATTTAATATTATACTTTTCATTGTTAACTGGTGAAATATTACAATAGCATAATACTACGTATTTGAATATAGATGCATACCTGAAATAGTACAATAGTCTAGCATATATATATATAGAAGAGCGCTCATATGCGGCGGGGTCTTACGGTGCGGCGGTGTGGTCAAATTCCAGAATACACCAACAGTGTAATAAAAACACACCCCAATGAAATGTAATAAAACATCACAAAATACACCACAGACTCAAAAAACACACCATATAACTCACCACCCCCAATGGTGTATTTCCGAACAGTGTACGGTGTTTTTACTCACACCTAATGGTGTGTGTTTGGTGATGCAGGGCTCTGTTTACTCTGTTTTGTGTGGTGTATTTCCTAACGTTGATGGTGCATATTTGGTGAACTATTGGTATTGCCGCACCGTAAGAAATAACCGCACCTGAACCCGCTTCTATATATATACATATATATATATATATATATATATATATATATATATATATATATATATATATATATATATATATATATAATTCTATTGAAAGATTACAATAGTCTAATAAAACATTTAATAGTGATTGAATAAACAAAAATTAATTATTTAACCAAATAAAATATTTAATAATAGTCAAATAAATAAAAATTTAATTATTTTACCAAACTGGCCATATTTTTTCCAAATAATAATAATCATGACCAGAGATCCAAGTCCCATCTCCAAATCGCCGGTCAGTTGATCCAAAATTCCATCTCCAAATCCCTAACCTTCTCGTCACCGGACCAGGGACCAGGGACCAGGGACCAGAGACCAGAGACCAGAGACAAGTCCTCCATCTCCCGCCTCGCCTGCTGCCGGCTGCCGTGCTCCGCCGCCTCCGTTCCTCGCATGCTCCTAGCGACCAACGGTCTCCTCTACTGTCGACGACGAAGGTACTCCTCCGGTCTCCTCTCCTTGATTTCTCGGTTGAAATTTTCTGATTGCTGGTTGAACCTTGATTTTTCTGTCTTCGAGTCTGGAAATTTTCTGCCGAACTTGATTATTGATTTTTGATTCTCGATTTCTGATTGCTTGAGTGTTGAAGAAGACTGGAAATTCACGGCCACAGCCATGTCTAGGCTGTGTCAAACATTAATTTTTAGACATGGCTTTGTTTCACAATTATTGTTAACAATGTGTAGGGTATATGCTTGCGTGCTGATATTTGTGCATTTATGAGAATTATGATTGGTGATTTTGTCTTGCCAGTATGCTAGTTTGCTTTTCATGATTGAGTTATGATTCTCTGTAGCCTAGACTTTGCAGCAACAACTACTGCTTCCCCTGCACATCCTCGTTCGTGATGCTTCCCCTGCACATCCTTGTTGATGCTATTCATTTCAGCCTCTCTCTTCTAAATACATGAACATCCTCGTCCATACTTTGCTTCAACCCCTCCGTATCTATCTCCAATTTCCTATTTTATGATATTTCTAGCAAAAACATGTTTTGTTCACAAAGTTTCCACATCTTTACATGTTTTCTCTTTTTATTTTTTGCAAATTTCATAAGTTGTTTATTTTGTCTGATATCTTTTGGAATGGTTTCATGATAGTTGAAAATCTACAGACTACTGTGGTGGTTGGATTGAATTTTTTGGCCACACAGAGGGGTAGAGTAGAGGCAAATGGCAGAAGGAGCTGAAGAGGACTTGCCAAGGGATGCAAAGGTGGTGAAAACCCTACTCAAATCAATGGGTGTTGAAGAGTACGAACCACGTGTGGTCCACCAGTTCCTGGAGCTTATGTATAGGCATGCTGTTGATGTGTTGATGGATGCACAGGTGTACTCGGAGCATGCTGGCAAGACTGTGATAGACTCTGATGATCTCAAGCTTGCAGTTCAGTCTAAAGTTAATTTTAGCTTTGCTCCACCCCCTCCCAGAGAGGTATACACTCCATTACTTTTAAGTTTAATGTTTATACTTAGATTAGATTAGATAATGCTTTCTATGATGCAAACATTACATATTATTATGAGTTGAAATATGTGTTGTGTATATCTATAAATTGTGTGTATGGATATGAAAGAATGAAGTGAAGGAGCCATGGATGAGCAAAGACTTGTATTCCGATCTATTATGTTAGGTGTAGGTAAACCCCGCATTGTGATGACCCTAGCTGGAAAAGGACCACAAGGAAATAAACCAGCCTAGGTTACCCATAGCTGACCAGCTCAAACCAAGCGGGTAAGAATTTGAACTCGTGACCTTGTGGTTACGAGTGTGGATCTCTCGCCATCTTGGCTAGGGTTACCCCCTTCTGATGTCAATTCTTATTTAATGAACATATGGTGTCTAACAACTGTTTGTCAGGTCCTGTTAGAGTTGGCTCGAAGCAGAAACAAAATTCCTCTGCCAAAATCAATTTCAGGACCTGGAATCCCACTGCCTCCTGAACAAGATACCCTGATCAGCCCCAACTATCAACTTGCTATTCCCAAGAAACGAACTGCTCAACATGTGGAAGAAACTGAGGAGGAAGAAGGTTCCGATCCTAATCCCACATCTAACCAAAACCAAAATTTTTCCCAAGATCGGACAGATGTGCCTCAAGAGGCTCCTCAGCGAGTCTCTTTTCCCCTTGGAGCTAAACGACCAAGATGACACTCTTGTCACCTTCCACCATCTTCTAGTTGCAAGGAGTCTGAAGAAAACCTTTTGCTATTTTGTTGTAACTAGTTAGAGCCTATGTTGTGCTATAATGTTAATTTTATTGACAGAACCTAATCTTTTCCGTGCACTTTCTCAAAGGCAATTATGCCTAAGAACATATATATAGCATAAGTTAAGGTGTCCTCATGTCTGATAATCTGACTCCATTTCTTCCAATCGTTATACCGTGTACCAGGTGTGCCCGCGCCTCCCAAAACGACGTCTTTTTGGTAAGTTCTGTATTTTCAGGTATAAAATTCTGTGCATTCTATTATATATAATTCTGTACATTCGAAACATAGGAATTTTCAGTTATAAAATTTTGTGTTTTCAGGTATAAAATTTTGTGCATTCTATTATATAATTATGTACATTCGAAACATGGGAATTTTCAGTTATAAAATTTTGTGTTTTCAGGTATAAAATGTTGTGTATTCTATTCTACAATTCTGTACATTCGAACATGACTTTTTTTTTTTTTTTTTTTTTTTTTTTTTTTAAGAGTTAACATCATACATGCGAAAAGATCTAAAATGACGTCGGTTTGGGTTAGGACGCACAATGCATTGTGCGCTATGGTGCACGGTATAATTTGCCCATTTCTTCTCTATTTTCTTAGCTGTGTATGAGCCCTTGATTTCATTGTTTTGAGAATAATTATATGATGGCAAATTTAGCCAGTTATTGTCTTGTGTAATGATAAATTTTTGTAGCTTTACTAGTGAATTTTTTTTTAATCAAGAAAATTATTAATTTTATTTCCTAAAATCAATCATTAATGTTCACTCGATCACTTATGAGTTGTGACATTTATAATTTTGTGATTCAGTCTAATTGAACCAAGTTTCAAGTAGGGAAAATGGCATTTTTTACCCTTGAGTTATATACTTATAGCACTTTTCCCCTCTCAATTATTTAGGTAAGCACATTAGCCCCCTCAATTATTCTAAAAGTGGTGCTTTCCCCCCCTGATATATTAAATTGACATTTATACCCTTAAAGTAAACATTTTATTTATTTTACTACTCCAACAAATTATTGCGTATACGTAGAGATGACCACGGTTCGGTTTGAATTGAACCGGATACTAAAGCAATCGAATTAATAGTTTTCGATTATAATTCAGATCTAGAACCCAATATTTAAATGTCAATTTATTAAAATTATGTATCAAAAAAATTGAATCTTGAACCGTGAACTGGTGGTTCCGAATCCGATTCGCGATTTTGAACCGTCTTTATTTTAAAATTTTATTTTTTATTTTAAAATAGTCTAAATTCAACAATAAATGTATTTTATTTTTTCAGTTCGGAACATGAACCGTCCGTTCCGGTTCACGATTTTAATAAACTCTAAATATTGAATTTCGATTCTAAATTGTAATTGGAATATTTCAGTTTGGTTGCTATAGTGTTTGTTTGGTTTGAACCAAATTATGGTCATAATTTGTTGGAGAAAAAAAAATTAAATATTTAGTTTAAGGGTAAATATGTACATTTAACATTTCAGGGGGGAAAATAGCCACTTCAATAATTTAGGGGGAAAATATGCTATAGGTATATAACACAGGGAGAAAAAATGTCATTTTTCCTTTCAAGTATATTGTTACATTATATATATACACACACACACACAATTGGAGGCATTAACTTGGAGGACAATTGGAGGCATTAACTCATATAGAGTTAATAATACCTCCAATGGTCCTTCGATTATTAGCGATTTACCAGATGTGGTCATCCAAGTTTTAAATGACCTCCAATGGTCCTCCATGTTTTAAAAAATAACTACCTGTGGTCCTTTTAGGACGTCTCGTGCTCATTTTAAACTCGGAGTTTTTAAGAAACTCCGAGTCATGCTCATTTAAAACTCGAATGACCACAGCTGGTAAATTGCTAATACTCGGAAGACAATTGGAGACATTAACTCTAAAAAAAATTAATATAAATATGATTTTAATATTTAATATTAATATTTGACATATATTTTTTGCGCATCGTGCATATAAAATACTACTCCCTTAGTCCCGAAATAATAAAAAAGTACATCACTTTCCAATTTTAACCTCGTTGCTAAAAAAATCACCCACTTCCATCCTAGTAATATTTCTTCTTGTATGTGACTGTAAAAACCAAACCTCAAAATGCAAAGTACGCAAGCAAGAAATGGGAAGCTTCTAACAAGAGAGTTGAAAAAAAATGAAGATAATGGCGGTAGACTACTTCACTGAACTAGATAACTAGGAATCGGCCATGAAAATGGACATAGATCTAGATCAATGACATGGTAGCTGTATAAATCTGTAGCAAGATTCCTTCAGCGGCAAAACTGAGCACCATCACCTCGTCGATGCGGAAATTCTATTTTCTTGCAGCTAAAACAATCTTATTATTGGCAAAGACTTGGTAAGCATATCCACGTACACCATAAAATACGCCTTGGGGCACTTCGATACGCAAAGGAAAATCTACGAGGCCCTCCACTGCCAGGAGCTGACCTTTTCTCTTTTGAATTGGGAGTTTCCAGGCGAGATCAAGGATCCGGAGAAAGATTGTGACAACCCAAAATTTATTTTTCCAAATCTTATTTTATAAATCTCAAAATAAATTATTTTCATTCCTACTTTAATTTTTCAAATAGTTGTACGAATTAAATATTTTTAATCCCTTTATTTTAAATAATCTAACACCCAAAAATACTTATGGCCTTCATGTGCTACCCGTCGGGGCTCACTACACAGCTACTCCTCCCTTAGAATACATTCATATTAGCGATGATGAGTCTTCGTTGGAGGACCCGTTCCAAACCTCAAAAACCGAATGCGATAGGGCCAATAAGGGGGGGGGGGGGGGGGGGGGGGGAATCGAGATAGTCTAGTGACCACCTTATATGCCTCCGGGCTAAAGAATACCTTGCTGGTATTTTTTTATGTTGCCACCCTCCTGTCAAAAACAAATATTTTATTCATGATTGCAGTAGGCGCTAGGCGCTAGTTGGGCAACTATGCGGCTTACTAAAAAAGAAAAAAGTAGTGCATGTGTGTGGGTGCGAGCACGCGCGCGTGTGTGTGTGTGTATATATATATATAATGAAAAAAAAAATAGCAAGGCCGAGTCGATCGGGTAGACTCGGCTAACTCGACCGAGTTAGGCCCTAGGCGACCGAGTTAGGCCCTAGGCGACCGAGTCGGCTGAGTTAGGCGCTAGGCGGACACCTAGGCAACCGGTCGCCTTGGCAGGCACCTAAGGGGATATTCGTCATGGTCTAGGGGCACCTAGCGCCTAGGCAGGCGCCTAGACCGATTTTTGCAATTGTGATTTTATTACACCAGGCCTCCGAAATTTTCCTTAAGAAAACCTTGGCTCCCCTTAAGAAAAATATCTCGCATCAATATTTTGCGTTTCTTTCCAACCAACCTTACAACATTGGCTTGCAGTCCAGTTGCAACCACGACAAAATGGTTTGCACTTGGCCCACGGCAAGGGCCCCTTGAGAAGGTCTAGGCCTATTTCTCGGGCTTTTGTGGTCCCGCCTATGTAGCCTTGGGGCGTGGTTCGCCTCTCGAGCCCCTTGGGGTACCCAGGCCTATTTCTTGAACTCCTAAGGTATCGCCTACATCATTTGAGGCATGGCTCGTGACTCGAGTGCCTTAGGGGCGTCTGGGCCAATTTCTTGAGCACATGGGGTGTTGCCTATCTCGCCTAGGGTATGGTTTGTGACTAGGACCCCTTGGGTCATCCGAGCTAATTTCTTAAGCATCCGTGTAATCGCTAATCTCGCTCGCGACATAGTTCGTGACCTGGCCCATTGGGGCGTCCGGGCCAATTTCTTGAGCACCTAGAATATCGCCTATCTTGCACGACGTATAGTTTGTGACCTGCCTGATGACTCTTATTTTGTAACATATTTCACCTCATTTTTATTCCTTGTTGCACTTGTTTTGAAGTGTTTATTTGGGTTTTCGGACTAAAAAAAAGTGTTTTGTGCTCAGAATGACTCCAAATACACTTTGGAGGAAGGAAAATGAAAAAGGAAATAAAAGTTGATCATTTTGGATCATAAACATATTTAAAAGGAGCATGGAAGCAAAATCAAAAGAAAACACGCAACAGTGGCACGCCCGTACCGTTAGGGTTTAGATGTTGATATGGTGGGGTGGTTGCAGTGGTGCATTGTGGTGACAGATGTTGTGAGGTAGTGTGGAAGTGGTTGTACGTCGGTTATGGCGGCAACTTGTAGATGTAGTATTTGTTACAGTGCCAGTGCATCATTGTTGTAGTTTTGGTGCATTCTGCTCTTAGATGTGTAGCGCATCATACTGTCATTAGGGTTTATTTGTCGTAGAGTTATTTTTTTTTTATTTTTGGGCGTTAATGTTAATATTCGTGATACACAGAATGCACACTTTTGATTTGTATTATTAACATAAACATAATGCACACTGTATTGTTAACGGTTCATCTTTTTGTCGCAATTGGATACTTATAGGCAGGGTGTAACACCCCACTTTTCTAACTCTTAATTACATCTCTAAACAGTCATTAACATAAACTACGCAGCGGAAATCTAGATGATAAGTAGTGGGAGTGTCACCGCCACAAGCACCACTCTTGAGTGATTGCACATGCTAAAAGGGGTAAAAACTACAAATACTATTAAGTCTGGGAACTAAGAGTAAATACTGGAAAAGTAAGGGGAAAAAACGTCACCCCAATACAGTCTACAATAATCCTCCAACATGAAGTCATAATTCTAAATCCATAACATCATCATAAATAAAACTAGAGTTTAGATATCTCAAACTAATAGACTAATCTAACTCGATTTCTTCTCATTGCTAGGCCCACCTGAAAGGGCTTTTGCAAGCAACACATAGACAAACAGGAAAAACACTCGTTAGCACAAAGCTAAATATAACCACACTCAACCCTGTAAAGCATTCTAACATATACTTTGAAAGCATTTGATATCTTTATAGTAATAAGCTAATCTCAAATCATCTTTAGATTTATCACATTCTTTCTAGATGCTTGCACACTATAATATCAGCTGGCATACTTATAAGTGTATAGGACTGATCACATAGATTTATCAACATATAGACTTCTCAAGTAGCTTATCAAGCAATTCATGCTTATAGATAGGAT